CGTTCAATAATTTCATGGTATTGTCTCAAACTCTCTTACCATGAAAAAATTAAAAAGACATTTTTAATGAATTACATAGCTATTTTGCTATTGCTAAGAACTGTTTCGTAAATTGAGGTTTATAGCATTATACCTTGCTTATTTTTCAAGTTCAAAATATTGCATAATAAGTGGCCAAAATGGAACTATAATAATATGGCAGTGAAAAGATAACCATATTTATCAGCAAATTGCCAAAAATATTCCTCCAAAATGCCAATTCACACTCAAAATGACAGTCGTAAAAACAAACAGAAATTTCAGATGATTAAAATTAAAGACCTTCTAATGATTTGGGCCGAAATTAAGAATTTTCAAAGACCAAAAATCGATTCCAAAAACCTTAAACACACTTTTAAGGACTCTTACGAACCCTGTGCTAAGTTCTTTATGTTGCAAACAACACTGGTCACAAAGGCTTAACTAAATTGATAAAATTTTATGCCACTGTATGGTGTTTTCTTGAAATCTTTCCCTTAAAGATGTAGGAGCAGTGTCTGTTACAGATATGAAGCATGTTGAAGACATTTATTAATAAATGATTTTCTTCTAAAATGAGTTAATTCTTATTTTCATACCAAATGCACCTTACTGCTGCTCTAGTTATCGAGTTGCTGAAATATTACTGAAAAGAATAACATCTGTTAATTTTGTAATCAGGTTTTCTGCTTACCCCTTGGCAAAGAAGTTCAGTGTAATAATTAACACAAATAAGTAAAAATTTATAGTTTACTGCAACTTCATGGGTGCTTAGTACACCATTATCAAAGCATTGTTCTAATAATGGTAAAAGCTTTACCAACTTCTATAATTTTCATCTCTAACAACAATGCATTAATTCTTTTGGACTAAGCTTCCACAAAATTGTTGTCAGTGGTAAAGTTTTATGTACTTACGCTAATTATTAGGTCAGACTACTTCCCTATATTACTGCAACACTAGCAAACAAATTATTTTGCAAGGTGAATAAAATATATAACAGTTTTTTGGGTATCTTGAAAAGAAAAGCTTTATCTGCCACTGTTTTCCCCTTGTATATTGCTTCACTTGCCAGCTGTGCATATTTAGGCAGCAGACACTCAATTTTTTAGCATATTTCCACCAATCCGATTTACAACACATTTCTCCCACCTTTCTCTTGTTCCTAAGGTTTTGCATGATATAGAATTAATAAAAACTGATATACAGTGGGAGCATAGTTAGAAAATGAAAAATGGCTCTTAAGAGTTTTAAAATATAGTGAAATGTCTAAAATAATGTTAGCCATCCTTCTAATTCCGCACTGTGCCAAATTTAAGATAATTAGTATTATCATTAAAAAATGCACTATTACATCCAATATACATTATGATATTCAGGTAGAACTTTTAATTAGCAAAAACAGGCTAATGTGGTAATTACTATGAGCAATATTAAAACGCTTCATTCTTAAAGGCAGCAAAATGTGATGTTGTTGTTAATTGTATTAAAATAGAGTAAACTATTTTTGTATAAAATATTTCAAATGTTAGATATAGTTTTAACCAGGGCTGTGGAGTCGGGCAGATTTTGGGGTAAAAGGAGTCGGAGCTGGAGTCGCTAAAAACAGGTCGACTCCTCCAGTTTTCGTTAGGCAGTTTGAATTTGAAATGAAATTAAAATGAATTGAAAAAATTAATAACAAGCTATTATTTTTATTTATGGGCTGTATACATTAATAAATGATTATTTTCTGTTTTATCGACCTATTAATAAATATAAGGGAGGAGAATGGATGTGATATTTGTCATTAGTGATTAAACTGATTCATTTAGTTACTTCATTTAGATACAAATCTCACTGATAAATTTAGGTAAGCAGCAATAGCAGTAAGAACTCCTAAAACTGATGCCATTCTTAGGAAGCGAGCAGAAAAAGGAGCAATTATTGATCAAGCAATGCAATAAGGAAGTACATGTTTGATGATACAGAGGTTTTTAGAATTAAGAATTTTTTTTAGAAGATGTAGATAACCCTAATGCTTCACTAACAGAAAGACTGTGGAATGATCTTGCAAAATTGGAAACTCTTCTTTCTATACCATATATAGCCACAAAAAAACTGCAATCTGAAGAATTGACAGGAGGCGAGCATGGGATGTTTGTTCTTTCTGAAATGGAGGGTTTATTGCAGAAGGAATCATTTCTTCAATGAAGAAAAGAGACACTAGTTTGCTAGACAATGAGATCTTGCTGGGTTTAATATATGGAGATCTGAAACACCGAATTTTCTTGGATGACGAACAAATTAAAAAGGTAAAGAAAGTCATCTGTGAATTTTCATTAAGAATGAAATTATTCTCAGAACAATTGGAGAATTTGAATCAAGACAGTCAAACTGCAGACATTGCAATTGAGTCTCTATGATCCTTTTTCATTCATGAATTATATTTTGAGAAATATTTTTGGATAATATTCAAAAGGCTAATGCAAAGCGAATGAAAATTAAAAACGAGCCGTTAGATATAAAAATGAAAAAATACAAACAAGATTTCTATACAGCCTTTGAAGAAATAGAGAAATATGATTGCACTTGCAAGACACCTCTTTTAGAATTTCTAAAAATCTATCCTGAAAAGTTAAAAGAAGTAAACAGTAACAGTAATAGCTCTTCCTCCTACTCAAATTAGTGTGCAAAGACTCTTCTCAATTCTGAAGTTTATCAAATCGGATCTATGGCTATCCAACAAAGAAAATCTTGCCGAAGCTATACTGTTTCTTAGAAATAATTAATGCCAGTTTTTCCATTTTATAATAAATGCTAATTAATATAAATAATTTGCTATGCCATCAATTTTTTTCTGTAGCATCTATTACTTCTTTTATATTAAAAAAATAAGCTGTAACCCATGTGTATATGTTTACATGTGTATATATACGAGGGAGTCGAGTCGGAGTCATTAAAATTCCAGGAGTCGGACTCGGTCCTTTTTCCTACGGACTCCACTGCGCTGGTTTTAAAATATATAGATTGCACTTTTAGATACGCATTAGATAGTGTTTATAGTTTATTATTAAAAAAATAATTCCTTTTTTGTATATTTTTGTTGGTGGAAAAATTCTCTAGGTTTCTTTAAAAAAATCCAATAACTGTATTTGGTAGGTAGGCAAGTGTGCATTGTCATGCAACTTATCATGACAGTCTACAAGAAGTTTTTTTTTAATTGGGTAAAATATATGAAATAATAATTCAATGAGGTTTCCTCTAAGGGCGTAATTTGATAAAATATCTCCCCGCTTCTGCAAAGACTGCAAAAGTTATAATATAAATCAACATATAACAGTGATAGTATAATCTAATAAAAAAATCACACTCTTTTTTATAACATATAAATAAAACTATTGAAAAAAAAATAAGACTATTGTATAAAATAAAACTGATTAACATGTTTCTGATCATTCATTTTTATAATAAAGACAAATTCATTATTAAAATGATCATTATTATATCATTATTAAAATTACATACATTATTAAAATTACAAATTATTATAAATCATTATTAAAATTACTGTAATTTTTTTTAATGTTTTTGTTCAGATACGTAACCAGTCTTTTGAGTTCTGTTGTTCATTGAATATGCTAGTTTATCATAGTTTCATATTTGACCGTGAACTCTTATTTTTCTAGAAATTTTCTATAACTTTAGTTCTTTTCTAGAATTTGACTAGAAATCTTTTCTTGATTTCTTAATGGAACAGTCCTTTCCACTAGAAACACAATGTTAGAAAATAATCTTTCTAAAATTGTTCTTTCCTCCTCCCATTTATTCAGTTTGATTGAATTGTATTTGATCTTATGTTACTTAGTCCCCAATTTCAGTCTGTTTACATGCAGAAACAATTAATTCCACTCTCATATGACTATCATTAAATACAGTAAAGCACGAGAGGGCTATTTGCTTTGACTGTCTATATGATCTGTATTGTTGTGAATGAGTTCATGCTTTAAGAGAATCTTTGCCAGTCTTTGTATTTACTTCTCATTAAAACTATTTCAGTTAGAACCAAATAACTTTTAATGATAAAAATTCTTAGTAGCCCTTGTTTCTGAATATGGAATTTAATTATATGTCACTTTCTCATCATCTGATAAAAACGATGAAAGGAACAAAGGACATTAAAAAATACCTTGTCTGCAGTCTCAAGGTAATAAATATCAAGTTCTCATTATAAATATCTGTGGACCTAATGTAAGTGACAGAAGTACTAAAATTATTCTTACAGTTTCTGGCCACATGGAATCAACTTGATTATGCATTAAAGAAATATGAGTATACTATATTGATTTTTCATACGTTTCTCCTGAAGTTCTCAGAGCAGATGTTTTTATGACAAAATTCAGAAGTTGAAAATCTTAATACCGTTTCGTTTCTTCGCATTCAAGCTTAATATGCTCCTGTCCTCTTAATTTCATATTATAGTTACATTTACAAAGCTTTTAGTTGACAAAGAACAGATGTGCTTTTGTTTTTCCTCATTAAAATCTTGCAAAAAATAGGTAGTTAAATCTTGTATTAGCATTTATGTGTGGTACCTGCAATTGTAGGAGGTAACTGAAGGAAGTGTTATAGGGCCCTTAACATTACAACATAAGATACAAATTGAAATTCAATATTTACAAATAGAAAATCAAAATTTCTGTTCTATCAGGAAAAAAAAAAAAATAATGTTTATATAACCTAGTCTCAAAACTTATGTTTATAAGATATATTAAAAGATTTTTTTTGTTTAAAAATTTATAAATTATTTATATTAATGTGATTTATGTTGTATGTTTACCTTTTAGTAAAATCTAAAGTAAATCTAAGCTTGTAAATGTACAAAACAGTTTTAAGCTTTTGTTTGCAATAATATTCTTGATATTCTTCTACTACAGTGTTTAGCACTTTACTTGGTGTTAAGTTTTGGTTTGAATTTCTTTTTCTTCTTCTACCCTAAATAGTTATCGTACTCGTGAGGAAGTGCAAGAGGTTCGACAAACAAGAGATCCCATAACATCTTTCAGGGAAAAAATTATTAGTACTAATTTGGTAACAGCTGATGAATTGAAGGTAAATATAAGAAATTTTAGAGCATATTATTTAGCACTTTGCATTAATTATTTTACTAAAATGAAAAGTCTATTTTAAATACAGTCAAAAGTCGTTAATCCAGACTCGTCGGGACTTCGGCGATTCTGGATTATAGATCATCAGTTTAAATCTGGTAAGATGGCATGCAGAAATTAAAAATATGAAACCGTAATTTCTGAAATAAAGAACAATTATGATCTAAAAGGTATCAAAATTTACAAAAAAAAAACTTAATACTTATTTGTTTACTTTATTAAACATTTCTTTCAATGTAAGTTGTTTAAGTTGCTTTGTTTTATGTGATAATACTTTCTCTTTAATTCTATAAACAGATATAATTTTTTCTTCAGTTACAAAGTTCCGCTGTTCAAGTCCTATAATTGCTGTGTCGAGAATACCGACTAATTTGTCAATCGAAATTTTTTCGTTTTCAATAACCTAAATATTACGTCACTTTCTTCACTATCGGAAGCGAATTATAATAATGAGAAATTTGATTTAAATCATATCAAAGACTGAGTACATCGAGATTAAATACTACATTTAGTAAGGAATTATAAGCCAAATAAAATAAAAACATCTGCCCTGAAGATAAGGATAGTGCTGACAGATCAACTTCCAATTCATTGCGTGCAGCGGCATTCACCCCCACGCCGCCGCAGAGCAGCGTGAAATTGATAAATAGATTTCAGAATGGTTAGATAAACAAAGGATATGCCTTTATCCATTTTTGGCAGCAATTCCACTTTTTGTTTAATGGACTTCGAAACATACTTTCGTTTTGTAGATCCTTTACATATTAGTAAATGTATATCGGAAATTCTATTTGACATAATCGAAAGTTCAAGCTAGCTTTTGTAAAACTGCTCTAACAGTATACAAAAAATAATAAGCTGGATCCAATTCGAAGATTAAGGAACAATACAATCTGCAACATTAACTGAATTTAGATAATTTTAGCTTAGCTTATACCGTCCGTTATACATTAAACGCACATGCATAAATGTATTATGTGCATGCGCACACGCGTATTCACAGCTGTAAAGGTCTTACGCGCATGCGTCAAGTAGACGCATGCGCAGAATGTTTGTAGCTTTGAGGTCTGGATTAAGATCATTCCGGTTTATGGGTGTCCGAATTAACGACTTTTGACTGTATATTTTTTTTTAGAATTTTTGCTTAAATTTCTATTTTTGTAATTTATAAATTTAAAAAAAATTATTCTGATTATTGCCTCCCCTTCTGTTTTTAGAAAATTGACCAGGAAGTTCGAAAAGAAGTGGAAGAAGCAGTCACAGCTGCAAAAACATCAAATGAAATTTCAGTTGATGAATTGTATGCAGATATATATGTAGACCCAATTAATACAAAAATTAGAGGAATCACCCCATTTACAGAACATCAACATAAAAGGCTTGCAACACCTCAAAATTTATAAAAAAAAAAAAAAGTAAATAAAGAAAACCCTTTTATTTGAATATATTTAGTTGTTAATAAAGATTTCTAAGTTGTTTTTTAAGTGTTATGAAGATTTCAGTTGTATGACTACCCTTGAAAAGTCGCTTGAAAAAGTAAATCAATTTATGTATTTTGTAAAAAATTAAGGACAGATTGTTATGATGTGTTTAAGTATCAAAACTTCAAGAACTTTATTCCAGCTTCATGAAATGTAATGAATTAATTTCATCATGATATGCATTATATATGAAAAGTATTCACTAAAAAGTATCATCCCTTTGTAACTTCTATTAAAGTTGTCTTTTTCTAGCCTTTAAAATAGTCTTGTGTTAATAGCTGCCCCAAAATGTAATAAATATGTAACCTAGTGCCCAAAATGTAACATAGTCTTGTGTTAATAGCTGTCCCCAAATGTACCATACAAAGTGTAGGTATGTTTCTTATTATTACAAAATATTGTTTTTGCCAGCATGTAAGTTAAATGCATTGTAAAATTGTCTTACCTTCCCATGTAATATCAGTTAATCACCATGCTAAATTTATGATACTAAAGGAACAATTTGAGATCATTAAATTATAAAGCCTAATAAAATATGTCGTGCAAAAATGCATAATGTTATGAAACTCTCAATGTGATGAGGATAAATTAAGGATTTGTGTTGGTCCCCCCCCCCATGCCAAAGCCAAAATTTCCTATTTGTATTAGAGAAACAGAAGCATTTTTATTTTGAATGGAAAATTTTGTTTGTAGTCATATACCAGTTACAGAAAGTAGACAAATTTGAGATCTCTCAAAAAGCTTTCAGCCTCATTTTCAGATATTAATGCCAAATAAGGTTTTGTAATTTATATATATATATATATATCTATATATATATTGTGAAAAATTATATTGCAATGTTTGTGTATGCATTGCAATTTAATTTTTGTATTACGTACAAAGTCCGTAATCGGGACTTCAGCGATTCCGTATTAGGGAGTTTTCCGGATTATAGATCATCAATTTAATTGGGAGATGGATGCAGAATTATACAATTAAATAAAAACCGTAATAATTATTTTGTTTACTTTAGTAAACATTTCTATCAATGTACGTTGTTTAAGTTGCTTTTTTTTTTTTTTTTTGTGCTAATACTTTTTTTTTAATTCTCTCTTCTATAAACAGACATAATTTCTTGTTCAGTTGCTAAGTTCCATTGTTCAAATCCTGTAATTGCTGTGTCGAGAATATCGACTAATTTGTCAATTAAAATTTTTTCATTTTCAATAACATCTTTGTCGCTTTCTTCACTATCGGAAACGCGCATGTGTAAATGCTTTATTGGCTTCACGCGCATGCGCAAGTTTGTGGCTTTGAGGTCCGGATTATAGATCGTTTCGGATAATGGATGTCCAGATTACGGACTTTGTACTAAATAATATTATCAATAATTCATTGTAAAAGACCCCAGTGAAATAGATTTCCCTTCAGAAAAAATGCTATACAAACTCATTTGCTTATACTGCATAAGTAAACTGTTGCAAAAAAACAGTCGACATCACTTGATAAAGGCAGGAGGGAAAATAAATTTATTATTAAATTTAATCAAAAACAAAATATGAATTTTGCTGAAAATTATAGAACTAGAAAAATTTGAAATTGTTTATTCTGAATGCATCTGATGAAATCTTCCTGAAACTGGTGTCGAAAATGCATTATTGGGATTATTATCTGGAGCTGATGCCAAAGAAAGTGAAACTGAGAAATAACTTTCCAGGTTAATTTAGCATGTCTTTAGCTACATTAGTCATTAATTTTCAGTGAAATAAAAAAAACTTAGCCAAATAAGGCATGACAAATTAACATTGAAAGTTATTTATAATGTTGATTTTGACTGCAAAGTAATTCTGAAGTATGCATTAATTTATGTACTATTCTTGCAAACTACACAAAATGCTCTTAATAAATTATTGCTTGATATAGAGAATTTTTTGAGTTTTATAAATAAATGTTTTAAGAAATGATTCACTTTCATATTTCTCTCATATATCGGAGTTAGGTTAAGATTTTGCTTTTTTAAATATGTAACATATAGCCTCATGTGCAATGAGTATGAAGTATAAATGTTATGATTTTTCAATATTGGTATGTCCTCACAGCTATGCCAATGTTCATCCTGTATCGTGCACACATTCATATTGACTATAAGTGGAGGTTTGTCTCTCATCTGTCATTGCTCTTATTTCAATATACACAAATATGATGTTAGAACATTTTGCAGAAGCAGCAGATAATAAGGTGTTCTACTTTTCTCCTCCCCCCCCAAATGCTCCATGCATGCTTTCATTGGTATAATCAACTGATCTTTACTCATCAATGAATAATAGATGCATTTCTTCAGTTCTAAGATGCAAACCCATAATTTTACTATCACCTACGAGAGAGAATTATCGGTTTGATAATAGATGACGTATTTCTTCAGTTCTGAGATGCAAACCCGTAATTTTACAATCACCTATGAGAGAGAAAAATATCGATTTGAAATTATAAAGTAATAAAATAAATGCTAAGCTATATTAATCATTTTCTAATAACTAGTTTTGAAGTATAAAAACAGTATTCATACTTTTAATTAAAAAGTTGGAAAAAATATTGCTTCAGAATAATTTTCAATTCTACTGCATATTTCTTTTTAGAAGCAATTACATGAGGAAACAGTAGGTTCTAAAACTGAAATACAGTAAAAAATCTTTGTTCATGAACTTATAATTCATTCCTGGAGATAATTTGTCAAATAAACCATAATTATTTTTTCTGTGGGTATTAATGTAAAATTAATCCATTCTCTCATCCAAATGATTGCTTAGAAAAAGAGTACTTTGCATGTAAGTTTGTAATGAAAAACCAATTGAAATCATTAAATCTAATAGCACAAGTACAATATTAAATGTATTCAAAATTTACCTCGGAATTTAGCATATAATAAATAACTTGAACTAAATTTTACTGTTTCTCTACAAAGGAACTTTAAGAAAAATGAAGGAGCCAAAGATGCTAAATATTGCTATGTGAAAGCGGAAATCCTATTCTGAAAAAACATCAGGTAGTTGTTGTCTTCCCCCCCCCTTTAACAGTGTTTCCTGCTACTTGAGAATTGTTGAGCCTTTTTCATATTAAAAGTTTGTCAATTGGGATTTGTTCCTGTTTAAAATACTCCTCAAGCAAGACATGGCACTGCCATTGCAAATTTTTTTGCTATGGCTTATTACTGCTTTAATCAGAGTGATAATGTTCTGTGAACCTTTGCAGCTTGCTCCATTTTGCACTAATTTCACAAATCAAATAACTAAAATTTTTTCTCTTTGGCCTTCTTCTAAAGCCATTTTCTCTGTTGCATAATGAAGTATCTTTTGTTGCTGAGCTTACTTGTTCATATTTCAAGACTTCATTAGTCATCCTAGACATTTTTCATTTGGAAAATTTGTTAATGATCCAAAGTACCACTGTATAATTTTCTGAAATTCTATTTTCAAATGAATAAAGAATTCTGCATAGAAAAATAAAACTGTATTAATTTTAATAATTAAAAAACAAATAAATAAGTCTAAAATATAAAAACTGCTTGCTTTTAAATAATAAACAGTTAAATATTGAAATCAATAATTAATAAACAATATCGAATTACATTAGAGATTATCCTTCCCTAAGATTTTTTCTTTTAGACAACTTTTCAATTCTTGCATACAGGCAGATATTTGAAACTAGGTAAAGTCAAAGAGGATTGGACTTTTTTGCTAGCCAGGAATAGTTATGAATATACAGCAAATGCTTCACATAATTTGGGTAATGAGTTCTGCCATCATCTTGGACTGTTTGAAACTGGACTAATTAAGGAATTAAATATATATTTAAAAAATGGTTTCAGAAATTCCCCCTTTTCTGTTTTCAATAAATAAAATATTCTTCATAAATTCAAATTTGTTTATTCAATATAATTTTAAAAAGTGGTTTTCATAATTCATTTATTATCCTCTATAAATTGAAATATTGGTGTCTGCACACATTTTTTCTTTGGCCTTTTCTCTTCATCCGGTTCTTTATAGAAATGAACTGCACTGTTCATTTATTACTTGGCAATTAGAAGCCTATATTCAATATCGGATCACCTACCACAATATGCTCTGACAAGATTCAATTATTCCAAAAATTTTCATAGTTTTTCAGCTGTTAATTCTCATGTAGAGTTTTAAAAATAATTTTGTGTGGAAATTTTCTGCTGAATCAAAATTTATTTTTCAAATTTTTCACACTGGATTTTATAGTAAATGAGATTCAAATGAGAAAAATCAGCAGGATATGCAACAAATTGCAAAATATATTATACTGTATGCTTATACATGATAAGATCAAAAATATTTTAAACAGGAAAATGAGGAAGTATTAATTAAAGAAAGGAATTTAAGGAAACAAATATTTTGTTTATTTACAATGATTTGAAGAAATGAATAATAATTCAACGATATAAAAATGCTTTCATAACAGTAAATCACTAATATAAACAATAACATAAATCAGTATTGTTTTATAGTATTAAGCACTAACCAGAGAAACTCATAATACTGAATTCAGTTTTCAAATCTTTAAAATAAGGAGGTGGCATCATACATCAGTTTCTTAATGGAATTTTTTAATAAAATTGATTAGCCCATTAGTAGAGCTATCATGAGTGGATACAGGTTCTTTGCCTTTCAGTTCAGGTTGAATCAATTTAGCCAACTGCTTTCCCAGTTCTACCCTGTAATAGAAGCATATGTTTTTAATAATTCATAGTAGACATCTCAGATTGGAAAATTTCAGTTATAGATAGATAACACAAAATAATTGCCATGTAATGATTTATTTGATATACAAAATAAAGATAAAATTTATGCATATTTAATCGCTTTACATAATTTACTGATAAAAGGTACACATACCCCCATTGGTCAAATGAATTAATATCCCAGATTATTCCTTGAGTGAATATCTTGTGTTCATACATGGCTGAAAAGAGATTAATTTTTTTATTTATAAAATAAAGGAATATGAAATCATATTTTCAGGTCTCTTTTCTAGGATTTAACTGTCTCATGTATATTCACGGTTTGTTTTACATAACTGAATATTGCAAAGAGTATAAAGAATTATTCATTAGAATTAATGGAAAAGTCACAGCAAAAAGAGAACAAAGAAAGTAATGAATATATTTAAAAACTGTTATTTTAAGTCTTTAAGTGTTCAATTCTCTTACGTTAGACAAGAGGCCAATCGATATATTTAATATGACAAAGCACATGCTAGGATAAATTAATTTAAACTTTCCATGTGAAAAAATATGACTCTAAAAATACGAAAACTACCACAAAAAATTTAATAAAATCATTTATTGCATTAAATAGTTATATGATCTTCAATATTAAAATACATTACATCCATCATATTTAACATTTCTGATATCAGAACAAAGTACACCAATAATTTCAGTTATTTGGGTTACCTCATATGGCAGCTAATTTACAGCAATTCTATGAAATGTTCTATCTGCCTGTACTAATTTAAATCCTAACATTTGCCTCCTTGACAAAATCTGATTTTGGCCAAAAAGCATACCACATGAAGATACTCTACTTGATGGCAGAAATAATTTACAACAAAAATTAATAACTGAAATTAAGGGAAGAATATATTTCTAAATTTTATTTAATCATAATATAAATTAATCACATTTCTCAATATCTGATTCTCTTTTTTTTTTTTTTTTTTTCAATTCTTGAAAGATCTTTCAGTTACAGTGAATGAAAGCATTCTCCATTTTCATTTTCACAATTAACATCATCATCATTCATGTCACAGATAACACCTTCAGTTTTGTCTATAACATAGCTAGTGCAATGTTTTTTAAAATGAATCAGATGACTGTTTCTAGAATACTTTTAATGGATGAGAACTTGGAACTCACTTTTTAGCTTATCTGATAGGCTGATCAGATGAACAATTATTCAAACTTTCAGTGATATATAGCTAAATTTGTACCAGCAATTTAAAATCTACTTTATACAGAAGTTTTCTGCTTATATTCTGAAATACACAGTAATTTAAAATATTTGTATATGACAAAGCACATGAACGTTAATATGACCAAGGTGATGGATACTCAAAATCGTCAAAGACATTTTCAGGAAAATTGGCTGGTATTTGTATTATACATGGAAAAAATTATGAAAATATCTTTGAAGCTAGCATTTTTCATTATGATTTGAAATCAAACCACCAGATTTTAGTAATTTAACCATTCAGACACTGGCAGGTCTAATTTAAATCATAACTTTATAATTACAGCCCAAAAGGCCAATATTAGCAGAACATTTATAATAATTATGGAGTTGGAGAGAGGGGGAAGAAACTACTGATGTTTTAACTGAAAACATAATATTACAGTCAAAAAGTTCAGAAAGTGGATTGCATACAGTTTTTTTTAGGGGAGGGGCCTAGCCCTCGAATTTTCTGGCAGTATTTGTGGAAATCCCTTTTATCAATACTGTTGCAATGGCCAAAGCTCATTTTTTTTTCCTCTTTGGCATTACTATCGAAAATATTTTAAAAAACTAACAGAAAATTGCAATAAAATTTTAATAAAGCTTCTAACATATTTTGTGTCTTTACTTTCTAGTTCAATATATAACTTACAAAGGTATTTCTATGGCATTCTTTCTTTGGATATGCTGACAGTAAGTTCAAAATCTGTTTCATTCAATAGTCATTTTTTACTTTGTTTCTTTCTAAACATGATACATACATTTTATTTATCGTTTCAATAGAGCTTTTAGTTTTATCTCCATCCTCTTTTTACTTCCTTGCACAAAGTAAAAGAAGTATTGTAATCACGAAAAATTTTGGGTATCGTATTTGAACAAACATATCTATTTTGACCGCTATCAAAAGCAATTTAATGTTTTTGCATGACATTTGTACGTAAGGACTGAATAAAGGACTTTTTCCCCCAAAAGGTATTGTAAAATAGATTCAGAAGAGTTTCTTTTGTGATATCTGTATGTAGGCATGTACGTCTCTTGCATAACTCAAAAACAAAGTAGTCTCAGAACATTGAAATTTTGTATATGGGACTGCTATGACATGTAGTTGTGCACCTCCCTTTTTGGTTGCAATCCGCCAAAACCACAGTAATAAATACAGTGGCTCCCAAAAGTATTTGTACACTTATGATTTTCATTAAAATAGGGCTCTATCCATTAATTAAAAGTAAACTTTCTGAATGAGATTTTAATAATAAGATCTATAATCTATTCCTAACAAAATTACATGAAATATTTTTAAAATATAGCAAAACTTTATTTTTAAAAAATTAATAATCAAAAAATGACAAACATTTTATCTCAAAAAAGTCTTTGTACACTTCAAAAAAATCTTGACATATTAGTAAATATTTTCATTTTTTGTTAAATTAATATTTCGTAAGATATCCTTCTTTAGCATCTGCAACAGCTTTTAAACATCTGGGAATAGATTTTACTAGTTTTTTCGTAATTTCTGTATCAATGTTCATCCATTCTTCCATCATGACTGTTTTGAGTTTGCTTTTCATTTTGATGTCGTGTTTCCGTACTCTAACCTCCAGTTCTTTCCAAATTTGTTCTATGATATTTAAATCTGGTGACTGAGGTGGTGTTTCAAAATCTGAGGGCAATTACAGAGACACCACAGACGAACATTGAGAGCCGTATGCTTAGGATCGTTATCATGATTAAAAATAGTTGTTTCCAATACCCAAATTTTGGGCTGATAATTTTAAATTGTCTCTTATAAAGAGAATGATTCATTATGCCATCAATAAATAACAAATTATTTAGTCCGGATGCTGCCATGCACCCCAACACAAAAGCACTTCCACCGCCATGCTTAACTGTTCGAACTAAGTTCTCATAATGAAGTTCCTTGTTTTTTCTTCTCCATTCAGTTAATCGACTATCGGAGCCAAAAATATTAAATTTGCTTTCATCAGCAATTAGGACAATTTTCCAGTATGTTTCGGGTGTATTTATCGTTGATTTTGCGAATGAAAGCCTAAGCTTTCTGTTTTTCTCACTAGCAAAAAAAACTTTTTACAGTCAGAGCGCCCATGTAATTCTGAGAACTCGTCGAACAAATTCAGGTGAAATTGAAGTAGAAAATTTTGATTAAATTCTGCAGAAACTTCTACAGCACTCAAATGTGGGTTTTTCTCAAATTATCTAATAAATCTCTCATCACATTAACTTTCTTGTTCGACCTTTTCTTACCGTTTTTTCAATCCAATTTCTTTAAAGCGTTTTATCACATACTGCACTGTAGAATGGTATAAATTAGCTAATTTAGCGATATTTCGAATTGATTTCCCACTACTATAGTGAAAAATTATCAATTTTCAAATGCTGTTTGTAATTTCTTTACGACTGGGACCCATTTTTCAGTAATAAATAGAATATTATGAAGTAAACAAAAAATTAAAGCAAACGATTTTTATAAGTGCCACCACAATGCAAAAATTAAAAAAGTGGCAAACTGTACGAAGACTTTTGCGAGATAAAATGTTTGTCATTTTTTTATTATTAATTTCTTAAACATAAAGTTTCACTATATTTTAAAAATATTTCATGTAATTTTGTTATGAATAGATTATAGATCTTATTAAAATCTCATTCAGAAAGTTTACTTTTAATTAATGGACAGAGCCCTATTTCAATGAAAATCATAAGTGTACGAACACTTTTAAGACCCACTGTATACATATATATATACTCATTCTGTTACTCGGCTCGGTGAGCACAATTTTGTTTAATTTTAAAAGTGATTGAATTATGTTCCAGTTAAGGTTTTCATGCCTTTAGTTGATCTGCATGAAATATCAATAATTTAAACATCGTTTCAGCTTGCCTAAGCCTAACAAGCAGCCATATTTTTTTACATTTAAAACTTGGTAGAATAGTGAATTAACTAAGTTTGTGTACAATTTCAGGGTCTTTTTGCTGAGTGAAAGTAAAAGTAAACTTTGAGTTTTGCACACGAAAAACATGTCTTCCTGCCCCTGACCAAATTGCTTGTTTTCGTGTAAAAAATAATTTTAATTATAAAAATTGTCTTTGTTTTAACTGTATTAGGCATTTTGTTTTTCTTTATTTTATCATTTTTAATAAAACTGTTTCGAGTTTTTATGTATTTTGTTTTGTTGCAGAGTGAGAAAATTATTTGGATGAGAAGTACAGGAATGTTGACACATTTTTTAGACAATTTTTTATTTGTTATAAAACACAATCATCTGCTTGGAAATTCATTTTTTTAACTGCAGCTATATTTTTGAAGGTATAAATAATCATCAGCTCCTTGACAGTTTTGTTTTCATGCAAAATGGTGCTTTTAAAGAAGCAATGGACGGAAGGCTATGCTTGTGCTTTTCCCAAAGAAAATTATTCCTATCTAATTACTACGTAAAAAATCTGAACATATTAAATTAACAGTTAACAAATTTTGAATTAAATCTACTTCGGCGATAGCGCATAAACCACGATAGAATAAATGCACTCTTTAATGTTCACTATATTTATTTTACCATAGCAACACTTCAGTGCTAGTTACATCTCATTCATTTTAGATGAATTATCACATGTTCTATTCAAATACTATAATAAATCTAAAACAGTGTATAAAAGAAATTAAACAAGTAAAAAAAAAAAAAAAACAGTTTTTCACAGATGATTCAATTAATTCAGTTCTCACTTCGCAGCAAGGCAAAAATACAAAAAAAAAAGAAATTAAAATATTTTCACTAAAATTGAAAGGTATAGAAAAATATAAAGCACCAAGTACAGTTAAAGCAATTTTTAAAAAAATATTTTTGCAATTTAAATTACAGCTTCTACTCAAAAACAAGCTAATAACTAAAATGATAATTCCACAATGAATTAAGCATAATTTAATTTTAAATAATTAAAGATGATATTACTTTGATG